GCCGCGCTAACTAAATATATAAATTAGCATAAAGACTCATTGCCCTCACCGAGATATGTCATCGGACGATCGACGCTACAAACCAACAATCGAACGAATTGGGCACATACTCGTGGAGTCACCATATTGTGACTCGCATAAAATATGGTGACTTTAATTGCCAAGAAACAGCACCAATAGACTAACTTATAAAATAAGACCTATCTATGTGCTTTCATTACTTACCATATATTTCGTTACCTATTACTTAACTATATATTGCATACTAATTACGATAAGTACGATAATAAGTCAGCGCATATTACTTACGTTATTATTGGGGTCGTTGATGTTGTTCGTGAGCTTCAATTTATTGAAGCTGATCGGATTGTCCATCCAGTGGCTCCCCGTTGCCGGACTGTCGGGATGCTTATAAATCCTATAGCTGAAGGGCTGTTGCGGCTCTGCCGGCCCCGCAAAACTCCAGCCACCCATATTGCTGTTCTTGCCCCCGTTCTGGTATCCACAGTACTTGTGGCGGCGATCGGAGGCCGGTGCTATCTCCATGAGGACATAATAATTCTCACGTTTCTCCAAACCGCTTACGTTTATCTGAACGGACGGGAACATGCGCCTGTAAAACATCGAACAAAGGCTCCTAAAATCGCTGATGGATGGTGAGTCGTATTAAGTAGTCAAATTCAGCTTTCAAAATTTCATCTCTTTCAACTACAAGCTTTCCTATAGGACAATATAATCCCTTTCTGTGCGGGAAGCACCAAATTTTTCGCAGAAAAAAAAGAAATATTCTTTAGCGGCACAGGCAAAAAAGTAAAAAAGAGAGAGTAATAGTTTAACTCTTTATATATATTTTGTGATTTATATTATTAAAAGATCTAATAGTGTATAATTTCTCAGATAATGGAATAAATAAAACTATCATTTATAAAACAAAATAATAGGTCTTTTTAAAATTAAGAAAAATAAATATTAATGTTTTAATTTTAATGTCTTTATAAATACTTAGTAAAATCATTTTTAATCGGGTAAATAAAACTGTCACCCAGATATAGACGACATAGTAGTCAAACTGTTAAATAAAGACATGTTCATTTTTTTCGAATCGATATTTTATATGTAAAAGTATAAATATTGCGCTTCAAAATTGTGCGCTTTTTTTATTAAAACATCTATCTTTGTGTATTATATGGAATATACAATATAATAGAAATGAGAGACATATCGTGTAAATAGAAGCTTTTGTCTTGCTCCTTTAGCTGTTTTTTTTTAAGTGCTGGATTTATGGATACCTCTGTAAACGGTTTTATCATAAAATATTTAGAAAGGTACTTTCTACATATAGATACATGTGGTACTTTTGATCAATTTAACACAATCATGTATAAATAATGACGATTCATACTCTCTAAATCTGAATCAGTGAATAGTACTGCTGAATCAGTGAATAGTCACTGATTCAGATTTAGAGAGTAAATAATATCGAAAATAGAGACTTTATTAAACACTAATGGATATGGCACCATAAGATTAGAAACGACGCATGTGCGTAGAGTCCTTTTATAGATAATTTTGCCTCGTGGAGACTTTTAACGCTAAAAAGGTCTCTTTTCGTGTGCAGGTAGTATTCGCACACTTTTCCACGAAAGAACAAAGGTCTTCGTTTATAGTCATTAACGTGCCGGCGACGGGTAGGCGTCGCCGAGAGGACGACGCCGACGCTGCGTTAAGTCCGCTCCTATTACTACGCGAGACTTCCAGCTTTCACCCTCGTCAACTAGTTTTTCCGACTACGCAAATATTTCCACGGAAAGTCAAATCGAACAGCCGCCGTTTGCCTGCCTAATTGCGGGTTTTTCCCCCCGGCATTTTTCGCGTTCGACTTCGTATCGAGTCGGCCGACAAAGGATTTGCCTTCGTGCGCCCGGTCTGCGGCCGCCCTTGGTGCTACATTGTCAATACATTAGTAGGTAAAGACAGTGAAGCTTGGAGACGAGACTTTTCGGTGATATAACAAAAAATCCTGAGTCTTTAAAAATTATCAAAAGTAGCCAACCGTATTATTCTTCGTCATTCTCTCAAAAGGCGCACCATTATAAAAATTCCAATCGCTTTCCATTTTACTTTGCTTTGTGTAAAGACAGTGAAAGTCAAAGACGAGATTTTGCAATAATATAACAAAAAATCCGAAGTCGCTATAAATTATCAAGAATAGCAACCATATTATTTTTCGTCATTCTCTCAAAAGGCGCACGATTATAAAAATTCCAATTGCTTTCCATTTTACTTTGCTTTGTATATATACCATTAATCATGGCGCGACTTAGAATCACGTCTTTTATTTTACATTAGGCGATTCTTTTCTCTCTTATTAACGTTCAAAAGATTCGATCGCGATAATAACCGCGGGGAAACAAAAAATTTTCTCGAGAAGCGATCCATATTAGCTTATACGTAACGTGTCGCGTTCGCGCCGCGCCGTCCTGACGGCTGTCGGGTGCTCGTGCCCCGATGCCGCTGCGACAGACGCGGTTTAAGGAGCCTCTTGTAATTACGCGGCGCGGCGATGAGATAACGTCTGCAGTGGCAGTGGTGTGATATAACGTCGCATCTCAGTGGCACGAGCTCTGGGAGTTGGGAGCCCGTGTCTCATCCTGTACGATTACGGGACCCACTCGAAAGTCGCGTGGGCTATCTCCTCACGTGCGCACGCTGTTCGACATACCCCCGACAAAAAAACGGCAAAATTAAAAGCAACAAGTCTCGTATACACGTCCTGATTACCTCTGAGACAATGACAAAAGAATGCGGTGCCGTTGTTTCCTGACTTTTCGTTTCCGTACTTTTGTTGGATTTATTACTAAGTAAAGCCTTACTGCAAATATTTGCTGTGACGAACTTTACCTGAAATCTCTACCGCTACGCTTTAATATTCTTCTATTCTTTATTGAATAAATAAGCAACAATTTTTTTGGCAATTTTAAATGTTGCTTAGAAGGAAGGAATTAAGGAAAGACTTCTCTTCTCAAAAAAGGTATACAAAGATTGCAGGTTTCTTTTACCTAAAGAAAAAAAACGTCCCGACCATTTGTGCCATTGAATCAACTGTAGCTATAGAATCATTTTTTTGAAAACTGAAACCAACTCTGGAAAGACCATAGTCATAGTCGTGTCATTTATCTTCCAAAGGATTTTTTTCACCATTTCAATTCTTTTTCTAGGAAACAGTGCATTATAGTCACGAAATAACTACCTGTCGATCGCCACTTCTGTTATATACACATTTGTCACACCACTTCATTATCGCGTACATAGTAAAGGAAAATCAAGGACGTACCGCACGGTAGTCAAAAAGAGAGAAAAATTCCGAAACTGCACATTCGAAAGTAATGACACATGGTTGTGGACAAATATCGTGTTGAGGAATATAAATCGAGTTCGCAAGATTTATATTAGCGCGAAACAGAACAATAGAGAAAGGAAAAAAGTGAGAAGGGGGTGGGGGAAGGGAGGGAAGAAGGAGCACGTGGTGAGCACGTGGTTTCCGCACGAACACCGAAGTGCCGGAAGAGACACACGGACAAATGGACAGACAGACAGACACACGTCGCTATTGTCGCGACCTGGCAAAGATAAACATGTGTGTTTGACCCTGACTTTCTTTTTCTTACCCAGAACGCTGATCGCTCGTTTACGATCCGTCAGCTCGTTAAAAGCACGATCAATGGTCGCCTTACGTCGATCAGGAGAGACGTTGGACCACACCTAAAGTGGTCCAGTGTCACGTAATTAGATATTCGACGTATCACGTTACAAAAGTGTAGGTTGCCTTCCCAACTCCATGCAGGAAATGCAATTTTTTCGGAAAATGCAATTTCTAACGAAATAGCACGCAACGGAATATCTTCCATTTCTGTTACAAACATATGTGCAAGAAAATGCAAAAAAGTCGCTTAAGATTAAAAAAAAGAAATATTAAGAAAGTAAAACACAAAATGAATTTAAAAATATTGTATATGAATAAACAGCATAAACTGATGTATAACCCTTACAGAAATTTAATTACTTATTTTGAATATTAAAAGCACTGTTTTTAATGCTTTGAATATTCAAAATAAGTAATTAATCATTAGCCAAATGATCACTTACAGTATTAAATTTCTGTAAGGGAATAAAATGAACAAACTGTATGACGTAAATAATAATTCTTAACCCCGAAAAAAATTTTCAAATTTGCATAATGCAAAACCCGAGCATCCGATATATTATTTAATTTATTTATCATAAACTTGTGCCGCGTCACGCGAAAGAGATATAATAATCGAATAATTTTTCTTCGCAAATCTTCGCGCTTTGAGTGTGAAACGCGCACACTGATGCACAAAATCTAGTTGTTGAACGTATAGACAGTCTCTAATAATGAGTCACGGACGCTCATAAGCGGTTACAAATCTTTTCATGATCGCTCTTCCTTCCTTCCGCCCTTTCTTTCGCCCTTCCGGTTTTCACGACCTGACGCCCACGCGACACCGATACATTACACGGAAAGCGTGGCGCGTGATACGCGCGCGTTCGCATTATCTGCTTAAAGCCACGAAAAATTCTACGTACCCGTATCGCTATTTATCACCCCGAGAGTCCCATCTGAAAAGAAATTATCCGATTGTTTATCGGCGAAAGCTTCGGTCAGTTTTAAACGGACCGACGTCCTTGTACGTGTTTCGACTATGCTTCTAGCGCGCGTCAAAATGACATATTTTGCTTCCGAAAAAGCGAAGAACGCATCTCTAACCGGTTATAACGCCTATACTGACCCCCGATCGAGACGGACAATGAATCCTAAATGTCGTTGCGGTACATTATCCTACAAGACTAATCGCGTTGTCGTCACTCCGGAACGCCCAGTCTGCCTGGCTGTCTAGCTAGGAAACGATCCTATCGCACGTTAAGAAAATGACTGGAATGTGTGTCAGCCAGAATTTTTCGGAAGCGACGGAAGCGTGGAGGGATTATTATATAATATATTAGACCTTTAAGCGAGAACCCAATTTCGGAATATTAAAAAACGCTGTAACGTCCGTGTCTCTTCTTATTTACGATTGGTGTAACGCAACGTTTCCCTTAACTCGGCGTTACTAACAATAACAAGGGAAGATTTCCAACTCGGGCATCCAACGAAGTATAAAAATTTGCTAATACATAAAGGATGTTCTGATAAGCAACAAGCTAATTTTTTTTTTGCCCGAATTCATCCTGAAGGGGTAAAATCAATCCCTGAAAGTTGTCCATTTTTTGTTTTATTATTCATAAAAAATTTTAGAATAGTATTAAAAATGTATCTTTTAATGAGATTTATCGATTAAAAAATTTATCAATTGTTTAACGAATTATAAAAATGTATAAACAAAAGCAAACGAAGAATATATCCTTAATATTCTTATATTTTCAAAGTAATTTTTTTCATAATAATATTTATAATACATTAATACATGAAATATTCCTAAAGGCCTAATTTAAAATATTCCAAAAATTTGGTTCCTTTTTTTACGACTCTTAATAAACCCCACGCTGGTAATTATCGATAACATATTTTCACCTTGCACCCTAACTCGTTAAATATATATATATATATATATATATATATATATATATATATATATATATATATATATATCTACTGATAATTTTCCCAAATATACCTGCGTTAAATCTGTGAGACGAGACTACTGCAATGAAAAGCGATCCGACAGCTTAATTGTTAAAAACATGATAATCGCCACGTGCGTCAATCTTAGCAAGAAAAGACTTCAGATAACTGTTTGAGTAGACGCAGTGACAAAAAAAGTGACCTCAACGTACAATCATATCAAAGTGCAAACTATCTTCCGAAAGCTTTCAAAAGGGAAAAAAAGAGCTTTCTCTCGAAGTGGAAGACGCGACGAGTGTCTTTTTAATCTCCCAAGATCTGGCGTCCCGTTAGAAGCTGTCCGACGAAGAATTTGCGGCTATATTCCGTCGCGTTATCGGCTAGCACCTTCGCAAATCTGCGATAAGGGATGGTGCCTAAGGGTATTACGTTATTTTGCGGAATCCCCGTGGCGCGGACCCATTGTTCCCAAAAGATATCGCGACGCGACGGCTTCGACAGCGCCGGCGGCGTGGCGCCGGAGTGCAGCCTCCGGTTGCAAAGCAGACAGTGGGGGAGTGGTCGTCGCAACCCGGCGTCTCGTCGATGCCACCTCTCACAGGCGCCGAGGCTGGAGGCTGCCGAGACGAAGAAGAGGCCTCGAGAGGTATCTCGTCTTGCTTGTTCAATTGAAGGCACGAGCGCCACTGCCGAGCGTCACTCAGGCGCGTCAGAACGCGCGCGGCAACGTGAATAATTATTGTTGTGATCGTTACAACTTGAATCTTCATATTTCCAATCACGATTTTGCCGATGATCTATTATCGAAATCTATTATATTAAATTTGGAGATTTCTTTGTTTCGTCCACCATAGATTTTACGAGAATTTGAGAGATTATTATGATTCCGCGCTCACACGAGAGATATCTGTCATTGTTATTGTTATTTTATCGTTCGGCTTTGTTTGAGTCGTGACTGTTTTTTCTTGCCGCAATTATTTTATTTATTCTCAGTTGACATTGCCCAATCCAAGAGCAATGAGGTTTATAAATAATATAAGAAAAAAAAATAAGAACTTTGATGTACGTATGTGCTTGGAAAAAGAAAGAACAACAATGCAATGAGAATGTAAAGTACTCACCGACCGCTCTTGGTAATTATCATTTCTGTACTATTCTCGTAGAATTGCTGCCAGAGGTTTCGATTAAGCAGCTCCACGTTGACTCCGCGCAGTAATGGGGGTTGAAATACCCATTCGCTTGAATTCATCCTCTCACCTGCAAATTAACAGTTATAATTCGTGCGATTAGTCAACGGATATATAAAATTGTTCAATCAGCGATAAATTAACCCTTCTGTCAATGATCAAGTATCCGGTTACTTAAACGACTTGAATATTAAAAATGTTTATATGTTAATTCGCGAATTGTTTTGTGATCGCTTCAGACCTTCATCCTTGATATAATAAGAAATCATTTTCAATAGTTTTTATCTTGGTACACGGAGAAAATTTTATAGTAAATATTACTATGGTGTCGCACTAGCTGCGGACCATCAAGACACACAAGTTTAAATGCTATATCAGCAAATTCAATTTATTTCTCGATTAACTGGCGCAATATGTACAAAAATGCACGACGTTTCAAATGAAAAGGGCTCGAATCTTGAGCCGAAACGTCGTGCATTTTTGTACATATTGCGCCATCAGTTAATCGAGAAATAAATTAAATTTGCTGATTTTATTCACTGGCGGACGAAATTATTACCGATATTTAAATGCTATAGTATTATAGTAAAATTACTATGTCCATAGCATTTAGTGCTACGATCATAGCATTTAATGCTATAATTATAACGTGTGTCTTGATGGTCCGCAGTTGGTGCGACAGCATAGTAAAATTTAATATAAAATTTTCTCCGTGTACCAATTTTACCTTTTGTACACGGTTGAAGTCAAATAATACGCCATTCAACGTATATATAGGTACTTGAGTATCTAATTTGATTTTTAAAACTTAATAATAACTAATAAAAAATTAATTAATATGAAGAAAAGTAGAAAATATTCTTAACTGCATAAAATATACGTCCCGTTCACATTCGCTGCTCAAACGGACAATGAGACGAAGAGCGCATGCAGGCTAATAAGTATACCTCTGTCGGAATTAATTTTCTCCACCCAAAATGAACAAAAGGCCGCACAAAAGGCCTTTGAGTCGGAAAACCTCTAAAATTGATGCCTATAGATATAAATTATCGCAGTGCAATTTCGAAAACACGTAGTGTTATTCATATACATTGATGGAAAGGTAAAAAATTAATGCATTTTGACAGAAAAATATCAGCTCAAGCTGCTAGCCTCATTAGACAATATTTTATAAAAATTCGTTTTCTTCTTATAGGAATTATTAAACTACAAACATATATAATCGGAAAAAAATTATTTTGTATATAATTATATATAAAACTTTGCCGTATGTTTTTCTTCTCCTCTATAATCTCTGTATATACATATAAAAAATGATAAGAAGAAGAATAATTGAAAAGTAATTAGAAAAATATAACTTTCACATCGATCGTCTTTTTTATCAAAAAGTAAAATCGCGATTAGATTATATACTCTCTAAATTTGAATCAGTGAAAAGACACTGGAGTGGCATATCAGTGACTACACATTCACTGATATCAGTCTGTAGGGGACTTTCCTCTAATATTACAAAATAAAATAAAAGGAAAAAGTAACTTCAGACTCTCGATAGCGAATCAATAAATTGTGGTAATTAAAGGGCTATGAGAATACAACGTAATTGTTGATAACTTTCACAATGGATTTATTAAAATTTCACAATATAATGTTCCAGACGTTTCAGGTCCACATTGAGCCACCTTCAATGATGTTAAAATTAATAATATCTATTTCTCATGTTATTCCCATATAAACAGCGTTGTAATCTCATAGTTCTTTAGTTAAAAAAAATATATATATACATACATAAAATATAAAGAAAAATACACATACATAATATTATAGATAATATAGATCTGATAAAATGGCAACATTTCCTTAACTTTCTATTTAACAATTAACAAGGCATGTAAACACACGCGCAATCCAAACCAAGGTCTCAAGAAAGAAAAAGAGTGAAGGAGAGAACGGAGAATACGACAATAATATTATACAAATATTAAGATCGAGACTTCTAGAATTCGTTTTAATATAACGATGACTATTCGCCGGTATAATCCCTTACGCGACACGAATCATCAATAGCGCGACAGACGTTCCGAAGAAGCGTCGTCGCTGGCTGCGAGAGCGAATACATATAGAAAGAAATTGGCGTGGGTGAGGTAACACAAAAAATAGAGCAGCGGGGCCACCCTTTATACAGGCATTGACCACCGCACTTGTCACGTAGCATTATGGTCACAACTAACCCGGCACCCGTAAGCCCATAGTAAAAAGCCATAGGTAGATAATAGATCCGCCCGGTCGACGATCGGCGACCTTTCATCTTTAGCGAAATAATCAAATGCGCTGTCGGTGCCTAGTGTGGAACGCATTACACGGGATATTTTGGGCGATTGGCAAGGTGACCGAGAAGAACACGGTCTCCTCATTACAGTGTAAATCGATTCGTTAGAGCGACCTTTTTCTTCCAGGAACACACCGTAAACGGAGAGGCTGGTTTCGAATTTTCGCCAGGCACCACGGCAGGCAAGATTCGCGTTACGAGACGTTTGACCATCACGAAAATCATTTTCTTAGAACAGATTTTTTTCCTAGTTGAAAACTCATACAATTCAATCATCACGCTGAGAACTTTTGTTTTGATAAAAAAAAATATATATAATCACTCCAACAATGCCACGCCGACAGCGTATCGAAATTAATTTTGAAGAAAGAATGAAGTAAGAAGTAAAGATAAAACACATGGGAGACTAAGATTATTAATCGTGAATTTTAGAAACTTTTACACGTTACGTCGGATCGGATTCAACAGATCTCTTTCAAATTGAAAATTTATTATATCTTAATAATCGCGCTAAGGACTTTTGGTAAAAACAATATAATTGCTCCAACAATAGCTCCGCGACAGCGTATCGAAATTAATTTTGAAGAAAGAATAGAGAAGAAGTAAAGATAAAACACGGAATCAAGTGGGATATTATTAAGCGCAAATTTTAAAAACTTTTACATGTTACATCGGATCGGATTCAACTTGATCTCTTTCACCTTGAAAATTCATTATAATTTAACCGTCGCGCTAAGGACTTTCGGGTTAAAAACAACATAATTGCTCTTCGATAATATACCTAACAACAGCGTATCCAAATTAATTTTGATAAAAGAACAAAGATGAAAGAATCGAATGGGAGATTGCAGTCGCGAATTATATCTGAAACTTTTACACACATTATATCGAATCGGGATCAACAGATCTCTCACCTTGAAAATTTATTACAATTTAACCGTCGCGCTAAGGACACTTTTAGATTAAAACCAATATAATTGCTCCGATAATACAACGACAGCGTATCCAAATTATTTTGAAAAAAAAAACGAAGATGAAAAAATCGAGTGGGAGATTATAGTCGCGAATTATACCTGAAACTTTTACACATATTATATCGAATCGAGATCAACAGATCTCTTTCACCTTGGAAAATTCATTATAATTTAACCGTCGCGCTAAGAACTTTCGGATTAAAACCAATATAGTTTGCTCTGACGATATACAACGACAGCATTGAAATTAATTTTGAAAAAAGGATGAGAAGGAAGTGAAAATGAGAGACTGACTCGAGATTGTTAGTCGCGAAATACACCTGAGAAACTTTTACACGTCACACACACACGCACATCGGCAAGGTATCACATGATTCGAATTCTTGACATTAAAATTTGAAATATCATACACCGTCTAATTGCGTTGACGAAAATTCAAAATCCCGTATTGTAAACACAAGCCGCTAACGTTCACCGGTTACCCGGCTTGTCACCTTGGCCGATTACGGGACGAATTGAAATGGATTGTAATAATAACGTACCTAATTTGCGTTGCAGAGCGATCGGTGACTGCGCGAAGATCGGCGATGCCAGTTGCATATTCTGAAGTTCCAGGGACATCAGGGCGTTGTTTGGATCCTGAAGAAACATCTCCGATGATCGACGTTTCTTCTCCGACACCGTCGGTGTATAAGGTATAAGGCGAGCACGGAAATGCTCACAATCAGAACGAACGTCGAAATCACGTGCAGTTGTAGAATGGAACTGAGACTGACTGAGACGAGTGAGACGACCAGTTCTCGCCAATCTCGCCTACCAGTGACCTACCACAAAACAGGATCAGTGCAACCCCGCCGAAACTAGGCGAACTACGTCCCGCGTGCTCGTTGGTCGAAGATGGCCGCCCACAAACTACTTCGTCGCAACGCCTACGTGCTTGATTGGTTGGTGGTTTCGTCACCGCAACAAGTGGGGACTGGTGGGGAGTGGGGACACGCGTGTGTCACGATGCGCGTCGCGTCTCGCCGCTCAGGCGACAAACATAACACTCCGAATCCGAAGGAGAGCGATAAAGGAAGAGAAAAAGGATGAGAGAAGGAAGAAGGTAAGATAAAGCGTGATGCGCCACATGAAATGCATTTTCCTGATTTCCAACAGCGACGCCTCGAAAACGGTCACTATAATGGCTAGTAATTTGACTAATTAAGAATTATTTCTTTTTTTATCTCCATCGTTTCTGATTTGCTGCATTTGAATTCTCGGAGATACATGAAAATCTGTTAAAAGATATTTATAAGTGTTTTTAGATATTTAAATATTTATAGATATTTTAATTCCTTTTCCTAAATGTTTTAATTAAAATTTAATATTATATGAATATTATTGTACGCTTAATTTAGAATTTTGTGTTTTTATAAAGATAAATAAACGCTCAAATTTAAAAATATAGCATACATGTATATACATATATATAATATATGCTATATTTACATATATTTAATTTTTTATAAACAGGTGTATTTATAAAAATAAGCAAACATTTTTATAAATATTGTATATTTATACATATATTTGTTATAAATATACATATGCATATAAATTTCACAACAACATTCTGTTTAATATAGAATTACAGTGCCGTCAGCAGGCGTTAATTCCACGCGTTCCACGCGACTATGTGAGCCGTCGCGAAAAATTGACAAGTGCATCAAATGACTGCGCCGAGATCGTTGTCGCCGTTTCCACCAGACACTGACCCTGCACGGATTTATATCGCGTGTTCCCGCGGGTCTCGTCACACGTTCCCGTTATGAGCATCATGCACGAGACAGAACATTACGGAATTGTCACTATTTAAATTATAGAATCCGGCGGGCGAACAGATGACTGTAAACTTCGAATCGTGACAACGAGGGAAGAATAAGGATAAAATCACACAAAGGACATGCTATATAAAATTCTTTATACTTATCGCGTTACAATATGTTATATATAAAATATTAATAATTAATAATACATATATATATATAACAGATGCACATATTATATACTATAGGTAGTGAAGGCAAGAAAAACGTTAAATAATCGATTACATTAGTTAAAAATGAAAAAAGTTAAATAATCAATTAAAACCACTTGTTTGTAATATCGAAGAGTTATACTGATGTGTTAAGTGTTATATTGATGAAATAATAAAGCTAATAAAGATAATAAAGATAATAAAGGTAATAAATATAATAAATATATATCACAACCATAATGATAATAATAGATTTCTTAAATTTTATTTATTAAGCATTTTTATAAAATAATTTTATGTCGCGGTCAAAGAAAAAAAATGATTTAATTCAACTTTTCAAAGATTTCATATTATTCATGCAATTGAATACTCAATATAAAACGAGATTTCGATTTAATAAAAAAATTCGATACAAATCATGTTCGAAATACAAACTCTTCGAAAGCGAAAGTTACAGTTATCTGTCGTTTTAGTGCACAATATTTTATTCTTTCTTGCTACCTTTTATTCTCTCCTTTGCGGCCTTTGCACATTTTTCTCATCGTAAAACTTTCTCTTCCGTATATATTAGCATCTTAAGACATCACTTCCTCTATGAGAAAGCCAAGTGCAAGTTTCTAAATTGCACAATTTTTATACTATGTTGAAATTGAAATTTTAACAATATAAGCATTTTATTCTCTTTTCTAAGCCTTGAACAACATTGAACATAATTTTCATAACTAAATATTTTACAATTACATAGAAACCATGATAATATAAAACTTTTGATATATGAATTTGCAAATAATCTATCCTTTTTTGTCATCTCTGATTTCCTAGCTTTGATTGTATATCAAATATAGTGACACTTGTTTACAGGGGAGACCGGGGCTCGTTGGCACTTTTTCACAATTTCATGCTATAGGAACGCTCCTGTATACTGTATAGTGTATCTTTATAATAAGTAAAATACGAACATGCTGCATTGTAGCCAACTTGCCCCAATAGTAGGGTAAGTTGTCTATGCGACAAAAGTCCATGTTAAATTAAATGAAAACATAATAGAAACACAAAACGGGTAACAGATACGTACTTCTTGATAAAGATTGTATCTTTTAAAATTATTTTGTAATGATCGATCGCAGCAAATCGCTGTTGCAGAAGAACAATTGTAAACTATTTTAGATATGTAGCCTTTTTCATCATAAAAATATTAATATAAATATATATCTAGCTTCTATCCAGCATTGTAAGTAGCAAATCACATGCTCAAACAGGTCTCACGCGCGCGGCAACAACAAGTCAAGCTAAACGTGTCTTGATATGCCAACATACCCTATCTCTACATACGTTTTATTTCAGTCATTTTATTACAATAAATTACTGTTGTTAGTCAAAATAACATGTCGTATAGTAACAGAAACTTTTCTTTTAACTATATAATGATACGTCACTTTGATTTACTTTTCAAGCTGAAGAACATTAATACGATATTGTGAAACGCTCGAAAATTTACTTGCCACCTCTTGAATCAGAGTTTTCTCTTTTTCTATTGTAATATTTGTCTGATTAAAATAAAACTTTGGGAAAAGTACCTATATGGTCATATAAGAGATATATCCCTATTCACTCCAACGTTTTTTTCGCCCCAATAATCCTCCAACCATGCACTTTCGAGTCCCACGTGTTTTTCATAATGTTAATAGCTTTGAAAAATTCCCCAAAAATTATTATAATATCTTTGTACCTTCGACTAAAAATCAATGTAAAGAACATTTGGAAATCATTTATTTAAATATTTTTTTACAACAATTATATGTTGACAAACACACGTTATGACTCGTTTTACTTAAAAAATCATAACTCACGAACAAATTGACGAAGCTTAATGAACCAAAACGCAAATTAAAACTAAAAGTAGTGCAAATGAGAAAAAAAATATGAGATAATTATTAATTAAATAGCAATACTTAATTTCGTCGCCGCAAATTTGGTAATTTTTAAATGGTACAGAAGGACTTTAAGGACTTAAAGAATGCTAGAAAAAAAATTTTTGAATAAGAAAAGGCGAATTTGAAGTGTGACAGATATTTTTTATGTAAAAAAATTAATTTTTTTTATAATCGTAGCTCCTCCCCACCTCTTCCACCTGCCTCTGAGCCATAATAGACCTCTGTGGAATGTTAAATTTTTTTTTAACGACAAAAATATTTTAAATACGGTTAAATTATACACAAAAATGCATTTTTATCGAAAAAAATGCTCATTTACGTTTCACACAACACTGACGTAATCCTCCAACCATGCACTTTCGTGTCCCACGTCCCACCGAGATTTTGATTGTTCCCCGTTTCGAGAGTAAATGAGCTAGGACTTTGAAATTTTTACCTGAGGTTCCCTGCCACAATAACTTTTTTCCGGCGTGGAGGGGATTCTCCCACGATCATTTGTTTTCCGGAACAAACATTTGTTAGAAATTCGTGGGACACGAAAGGCATGGTTGGAGCGAATAGGGATATTGTGAAAACTTTTTCCATTGTTTTTTTCGCTATAAATACATAAACGGAACGCATTGCCATTAACTTGCCTCTTGTATTTTACCGTAAATAATGCGATTCCTCTCGGTTTCCTTCCGTCTTTAATAAATTGTATGGCAATAAATATTTTTAGAATTTTAAAATATATACTGAGAAAGGAAGAAATTTTACGACGTAAAATTTCGTTAACTCTATAAAGAGTGACATATAGCTTATGATTTGGAAGTCCCAGCCATATTTCTCTGATACGACGGCATAATTGCTTCAAAGTAAATATATGTTTTCCATACACACAAGTCTAAACTTTCCAAATCGACTTTTCATTATATACCTTCGGAATATATGCAGAAAAAACTCGCCAAAAGTGTGCCGAAACGTTGTGAGAATATACTTTTTTACATAAGATAGGAGACTTATATCGAAAATTACACTGTAAAAAAATTTTGTAAAATTACAGGTAATTTTGAGACCCACTATAATAGGTGTAAATTTCCACACATTTTTAATTTTTCTGTAATTGTAATACAAAATTACTTTTTCCTTCCGTACTGTAATTTTGTAAAATTACAACCATTATATCATATCATTACAACTATTAGTGGGTCTCAAAATTACCCACTATAATAGTTGGAATTTTACAAAATTTTTTTACAGTGTAGGTAATCGCGTCACAGTATACGTATTTTACGTATACTACAAAAATGTTTTTGAGGTCCACTTTTGAGGCTGCAGTCCACTTGACAATACAAATGCTTCAAAGCATTCCTTTTCTCCTTTCTTTCAGTGAAGAATAATTCACTTTTGAAAATGATTATTTTTCTAGATATCAAGCCAACGCTTTTGTAGGACAGACTCGAGTACGATCTCGAAACACTGTACGAGTAAGTACGATCTCGAAACATTGTACGGTTATTTCATTAGCGGGATGGAATCTTAAAATCCTATCAAGCCTGTGATCAGAATTCAAGATAATCTCGAACGTAAGATCGGACTATATGAATACCGTGCAATCAATGCGGAGTTTTGATCTAATTGTATAAGTATCAATAAAATGATACTTACGAAATTACAGTCAGAGCTTTGATCCATAATTGTAAGTATCAATGAAATGATACTTACGAATTACAGTCTTGCACGTGCACACCTCGCCCTCGGTAGATATTTCATTTATCGTAAGCATTTAATAATGATAAAAAATGCTGTAGAACATGATTCAGTTGTATCTTCACGAGTGGCGGATCGAACGGTGCATTTATTAT